CTTTGCCCGGCCGACCACGAGCAGACCGTGAGCGCGATGGCGCCACGGGCCGCCACGCGCGCTTTAACTCCGTTCCGGGTGGCGAAAATAAACAAAAATCGAGTCGCGGAAAAAGAAAATCCCCAGAGAGGGAGGGGGAAGTTGAAAGGGAAAAAGGCGTGTGTTGTCAAAGGAGGCCATTACGCTGGAGAGGTGACCTCTCAGGTGGCGGTGCTGCAGCAGTGGCGGGGATAATATGTGGAAATAATTAACGGTGGCCGAGCCGAGCCGAGCCGAGCCGAGCCGAGCCGAGCCGAGCCGGATCCGAGCCTGCGGTGCGGTGTCACTGCGAACTGGGACGAAGACGTCGTTAAAGTTGCCGCCGCACTGGCCGGGCCGGCCGGGCTGAGAGGCCGTCTTGTTAGGGCGAGTCCTGTTAGGCCCCAACGCATCAGTTGATCATCGCCCCGCCACTCCACTCGCTGAAAACGTCAAGCAAACTTTGCGGGCCCCCTCGCTCCTCGCTCACCTTGGCCAGCCTGGCGTGGCCTGGCGTAGAGCCTGGAGTCCTGCGACGAGTCCAGCGTCGCCTGGCCGCGCCCCTCCCAAACCGCAGCACAGTGGGCCAGAAGACCGGCGCATGCGGCCAAAACTCTATAGACGCGTTTTGAGCTCCAGAGTCGCTAAATAGAACTCGAACCGAGCATGTGACCCTACTAACGGATTGCTCTCCGAACGGGGAATCCATTGGTGGGGTCGCCATACTTTGCCCCTGTAAGTAGACAAAAAGTTTTCCCCACCCGAAGGCCGCCCCTGGATCCGCCACTGCCTCTGGCCTTCTAGTGTACTTCCTCCCGGCTGCCGCTCCGCCATGCTCCGCCTCCGCTATGCAAACGACTGGAAAATTTCCAATCGTCATGGAATACGTGTCGATGGCTTCCTGCCCTAGGCCCTAGGCCCCGGGGCCGAGCCCCGCGCCCCGCGTGTCTGGACCCACAGTGCGAAAGGGGGGGGGGGGGCTTGAATGGGGATTCTGGAGAGGGTGGTGGTGCGAGTGGTGGAGCTGTGTCCGAAGAAACACCAAGACTTTTTGACAGTAGTCACGGCGTCGGTAGGTTTTTTTTCAAATTACAAGTCTTTTTTTTCGCAGGGACTGCAACTCAAAGTGCTTATAAATCCAAATTTCCGTGTCGGTGTGGTGGATTCGGCGACCCGACTTTGCCAGTGGTTTACCCAAGTCAACTCACTATGCCGCGAAGCCCCCCCTCCACTGCCAACACACGCTCGTGCAACTTTGTACTCGCCAGCACACATTCCGAGAGTCGCTTTCGTCGTCCTGTCTCTCTCGCGCCCGTACGGGACGCCCCATGAGTGCGAGAGAGGCAGAGCGACGAAGAGGACTCTCGGAATCGGTCGGTGGTCTTTTCCGCGCGGCGCGCGGCGTGCTTTAAAACTGTTCCGGGCCATCCAGTGGCGTTGACAACTTGCTCCCACAGCTGTTCGAACTCGACCGGGCCGCACTGCGCGCGCTGGGGCGGCTGGGTCGGTGGACCAATCCAGGCCGGGGAAAGTCAAACGCTGCGAAAGAGGGGGAAAAAAATCACGAAAGTTCGTAAAATTGAACTGGATGCCTCGCCTGCCTGCCTGCATGCCACGGTAATTTTTGTTTTATTATTATTTTGCCGGGCGGCGCAGGCGCGAGCGATTCGAGCGAAGATAAGCAATAACTTTTTGAAGGCCGACAGTGTGGGCCCGGGGATCGAGGCTAGGGATGCGAGGGCGTGACCGGGGCCGTGTCGCAGCGTCACGCCTCACTGTGCGACCTTGCAGGGCCGGAGCGGCGCGGAGCAGCGCCCGTGCACCTGCACTGCAACGCGTGCTCGGAATGGCGCGCGCCACTGTCAAACCAGCCAGTGCCATTCCGTAAAAAAAGGACTTTTGTTTTTGAAAGGACTTCGGACTGGTCTCTTTGCAGGGCCCAGTCGGGTCGGGCCCTGGCTGGCTGTGTGTCGTTGCATATGCAGGGCGCATGCATCGGCATTACCCGTCTGAACGGGCCCTGATTGGTCGGGTCGCACCTAACGTGTCTCGGCCGCCTCGACCGGGCGCCGCTACGAAGGGCCGGACCTCTGCGCGACACATGCCAGACCGACCCACAGTGGACCAGAAGGCCGGCGCCGGCGGCCAAAAGTCTAGACGCGTTTTGAGCTCCAGGGTCGCTAAACTGGACTCGACCGGACTGTTGTCTCCATGCTGAAGCAGCCTCCAGCCGACCCTCCAGTCATTCCAGAGAGACCCAGCGATTACGGCACGCTCCGAAGGGCCGTGCTGGACCGTGCTGGACGCACACCGTTTTGTATTAGTGATGAAATTAGCGGCGCGAAATCGATGCCGGCGAAACTCTGGCTGGTTAATAAACAGCGCGGGGCCCGGCCGGTTTAATGAAAATTAATTAGTCTGACCATGTGCACTGTGTGACAAACACTGTGCGTGTTGACTGGCTCGGCTGGCTCGTTTTGGCGTCGACCCACGCAATGACGGAGTGTCTCGCCCGATCTCTAGCGCCTTCATAGCGTCGCTCCGTGCGAGTGCCCAGCCCGCTCGCCTGTGACTTTACACTACTTGCAGGATGACTCGACTCATTGCACTTTCAACAAAAACACTGCAGCTGTCAAAACATTTTTCTACTAGAAAAAAATGAAAAAGTTATTGAAAACAGAATTTGATGTAGCTGTCAGTGCCAGCTCAACAAACCCAGGCGGGAATCGTGAATCGATTAAACCACACCGGGATTTTGAGTGACAGCGCGCACTTTTTGAAACAGTGTGGAGCCACCCCGACGCAGCAGAGCGTTCTAAACTTGAAGCTGAAATCAGCCATTCGGATTCTGGTTGACCGTGACCCTTTGGCGCCCCCCCCCCCCTCCCCCTCCCCAACCCCTCGCGGGGCCCGCCGCGTCTCTCGCCTTTTGCTTATTGCCTCCGAGTGGATTATACAGCATCGCTACGGCGGTACAGTGTATGAATGCTAAACAGGCCCAGTCTGCAGTTTATCCTAGCGAACAGACATCGTGTAGGGCTATTATCTTAAGGGGGCCCGGGCTACAACGAATAGACTTGTTCACTGTTATGAATATTTAATTACCCTTTCCCTTATGCGAGTCCCCCCGCGCCTTCCCTGCTTATTCCTTCAACTTTGCCAGCCGTAGATTGAAATAACTTTTTCGCCCGTACCTGCCGCCCCCCTCTTTCCAGCCTCTTTGTTGGTCCGCCGGGGATTAAATGTCCGCCCCGTCCGCTCGCCAAATGTCAATTCCGGCTTTTAATCGTCCGGCCTGAAGGACGAGGAAATTCCTGCAGCGGCTCGAGAAAAGTTGGGCGCAGTGCTGCCTCGCGAGTTGGCGTAGGCGTTGGCGCAGGTGCTGCAAGGGTTGCCAACCTCCTCCTGGCTTACCCGGCGATAATATGCGTCTTTTTTACTCATTTTTCACTCAAGTAGTGGTAACACTGGGGTCGAGTCGAATCCATCGCGGAGCGCCGACAAGTTGCCTACAGGCGCGAGCAAGTCTCGCAAAGCGCCGCAAAGCCAGTGCATAAGGCGCTAAAATATTATTGGCTTGGCCCGAGTTAATTTGGGCCCAGCTAATCTGGGGTGGGTTCGCTGCCGCCACTTAAGGATCCTCTACTCCTCCTGCACGGCCTGCAGGGCGGCAGGGCCTGTGATTAATAGTTGGGAGGGGGAGGGGGAGGAGGGCCGCATGGTAATGCCAGCGTGCCACAGTCTCTCTCATTGATTATATTGCGGGGGATTATGTGCAGGTTAACAAGGTGTGTTTGTGTGCGTGGCTGAGGTGGGAGGAGCGCGACCGTGCGTGTGAGGGGCGCGCATCCTTCCTCAGGGAAAATACCTGCGAAAATGGCTGACAATCTCAGATTTGTTTGAAATTGACGTGGATGGACGCGCGAGTGAGATCGGCGTTGGCGGCGCGTTTTCTGCTGGCAGGCTGCACCCCGCGGTCTGTCGGGCTCCAGGCTGTGCTCCAGCTTCTCCAGGCTGTGAGGCTGCGAGGCCCGAGGGGCTCGGTCTAGTGACCGCCACGCCACCGCTACCCGCAGCACACAACCCTCCACCCGCCCCTCCACATTTCCTCAGATTTCATTTCGTATGCAACCCGCATAGCACCCCGGGACGCGCCAGTTCAGGCGAGAGCGAAGCAGCGGAGCACTGCAAAGCTGTTGTTGTCATTTTGTTGTTGTTTTTTCTCTGCGTGGCGGCACTGCGGGATGCAGCCCCTGCCAACCTGAGTCACTGCAGGATGGCTCTTGCTTGTATTGGCTTCTTGAATGGAATGTCGAATTCATTCGCTTAGACGAGTTTTGAGCTGCAAAGACTCTAGGCCCAGTTTAACTTCAAGCAATTAGGATAGTGCTGGGACACGGCATCCTTCATATTTCAAGTAGTGTGTTGCCTTTTCGACCGAAGTGGCAAATGAAATCAACGATAGCCTTGGCTATTTTCACGCACTCTCTTTTAGAACTGATGCGTCCTATCTCGTTTTAACTGCGGAGTTTTGCCCGTGTCTCTAGCTTGCACTATTGGCGGAAACTACTGTTCAGTCGGTCGGTGCCTCCCTCTGCTACACCACTCCAGAGTCAAGACGCGTGGAATCACTAAACTGGATTAAATGGGCAGAGCTGAGCCGTGGTGTGTAGCCTCTCGCGTCAAGCTGTTCATTTGTAATGCGAGCGCACTCGGCACAGCCACGCTCAGCTTCGCTGCCACGCGATCCTCTGGCAGCTCCTCGTACATGCCGGCACACTGCGCCCCGTAACCCGATGGCCAGATTAATCTGCCGTCGAGCTGATGAGATATTTTAATCCATGACTTGGGTGCGACACTTTGCACTGCCAGTGTGACCCGGTGTGGCCCGCACGGGATCAAGTTGAACGACCTTGACGATGGCCTTGGAATGGCACTGTGTTAGAGGAGAGTGGATCGGGAAGAATAATTTACAAGTTGCGTGACGTTCCCATAAGGCTCGTTTATTCTGTGAATAAAAACATAAATAACGAACACGTTTTTACACACTCACCGAGAAAAGGGCTCGAGTTTAAACAAAAATAACTTATGGATTGTTTAGAATGTCAATGTCGTTTACGTTACTCTTTTCGAAACCGGGCGCGGCTGAGGCATCAGGTGGTTTGACCAAACTACGAATTTCCAGTCGTTTTACAAACAATACAATCCCTATGCACATCATTGAACATTTGTTTTTTTAAAAGCAGAATCCGTAGGCATGCGAGTGATTTGATTGTGCGAAACAAACTTTCAAAAGGCAACTGAGAAAACGAAGCATGGAACATTTTTGATTTGCGCGCCGCGAGAAAAGGACGGAAACAATTTGACGGGTTGCACTGGGGTGCCCTGGGCAGGCTGCTCGATCCAGTATAGCCCCCAAAACAATGTTATTTCAGTCAGAATTTGTTGGGGTTAGAGAACTAACTGTAAGGCGGAAAAGCCAATTCTTTGGGTGTTTTACATTAGCGCATAAAAGACTAAACCTTTAAAAGAAAAAAAACACAATTGTAAATAACTCAAAAGGATACATTTTAGGAATTTTAGGATATGGTGCGAATTCATTATACCCTCCATACATGTCGTTCATTTTGCCAGAAAAAATTGAATTCCTAGTGTGCATACACAAGTAAATTTAAAGAACAAAAGTTGCAATATGTACAATTGAACTTCTTATTTACATATTAAACATTTAATAGCCCTCTATAGTGGTGCAAGTCGTCTTTCGATTTAACATAGGGCGATTTTGATCGGCCATTACAACGTTCATTATCAATATATACGAATTTCTTTCCTTTCGTGGTCATAAAAATTGAAACAAATTGTTAATTACAACTGTAGCACTCAGCCACAGATGAACAGTGACAATATGACACGCCTGCACCACCGTATCAGGTAACGCATAACAAATAAATCACAGTAACGTGACACTTTAATACATTATGTACACATATCATTGCTTAGAGATTTTCAGCTATGGGGAACAAGCGGAAAATTAAATATAAACATCTCAAGAAGGAAGTCTAACAAATAGAAATGATGCACGTGATGTACTACATCATTGAGTTAACATTTAAGTTACAAACAATAGTTCCTGAATGGAAACTGTTTTGACTATCGGCTAAACATTTGTTATGTACAATTCCACAATATTTGATTTTACATACATTTTTATCCGTGTTTTTCCAATCATAACAAATACGGTACATTATGAACAGAAAAATATGTCACTCTAAGTCAGCGACTGTCTATTATTATATCACACTGGTCTCTTTAATAAAGTCAAATACTTAATAAACAGCGAAATGGGCTACAGGGGTTGAAAGTATTCAAATGAACGGTCAATATCAAAAATAACATGGGGGAGACATAACTACGAGTAGGCAAACCGATCGAAATTTCGAAAATTTTTATCCTACTGAGTACCACACAATGAATATACAGAACATCATTATCGTGTTTGTAAAAGTGGCACGGAGGTCTGAAAATTTTGAAAAAAGAAAAACATGCAAAAAACAAAAGCAATAACAAACTATGACCAACAATTAAAGTTACTACCTATACGAGTTAATGAGGATATTTGGCTGTCTTTTTCTTAACATAATTTGCGCCCGAAATATAAAAACTTCATTTCGCCCATAATTTCACCTTTCGCACAAGTCATCCATAAGAAATATGCAAAACACAAAATACGTACACTCATGAATTGATAAACTACACGAACAGAAACACAGCACGCCATTCGCACCGAACTTCACAGAAGGCTTCATTGAGCATCCACTTCAACGGAGTATGTACATCACTTAGCGTAAAGTCTTTCCTGAGCCGCGCCAACTCCGACGCGTTGCCGCGCAGATTCATAAGCTCCGCCGCAGCAGCGCCGCGGACGCCGCGACCAGGAGTCCCAGTTGAACTGAAATGGGAAAGCACGGCGTTAGCACAAAGAATTCCCGCGCGACGTGACAGTGGCCTTCCATCATCGTTGTTGTTGAGGGTCGGGTGACCCGGCCCGGCGAACGGCCCAACTTGTGTCGATGCCGGGTCGGCATCAGGGTCGCGTCCTGCCCGGCAACGCCCAGCAACGCCCGGCAACGCCCGGCAGGGTCCAGGAAGTGTTCGGGGCGTGCGCAGATTTGACTCGCAGGGCTTCGCCGCTTGGCCCCGATCCCCCTGGGCCCTGCTGCTGCTTGGCAACGCTGTGCGGCGCGGGTTCGCGGTTAGAGTTCTCCAAGTTTCCATTGCGATGGCATCGGGAAGCCCAGCGCGGCCAGCCCGGTGCGGCCTGGGCGCCAAGACCGTGGATGTTGCAGGACCTACCTGTGGGGCTCGCGGCCGGCGACCGCTGCGCCAGCTTCTCGTTGGAGGCTAGGTGCGGGGCGACGCTCGTCTCCCGCACCACCGGCGGCACGGTGGGCATGGTGGCGCGACAGCGGAGCTCGATGCGCCCGTTCTCGAAGTACTTCCGGTCCGCGTGCAGCCGCAGCCACTGGGTGCTGGCCTGCAGCCCCCACTGGTTCGGCTCGTCCGGCAGCGCGTAGGAGCCGCTCTGCCGACGGTCGGGCTGCAACAGACGGAGAGGGGGCCCTGGTGAGACAAGGAAGCAGTCTGATTATACCGGAACCAGTCGATCCCGTCCCACGACAAATTGCTTTCCGTTACAACCGTCGTTTCGCTCGAGAAAAATTCCCCTCCCCCCGACCGACTGGAAATAATAATAGCCGAGATAAAAAGAGGAGCACCCCGATGGATTGTCCCGATTCCTTCATCAGGGAGGCGGGGAATTAGTTCGGGAGACGCAGCGCGGGGCGAAGCGACCTCCTTTGATCTTCCCGCAGGACCAGGAGCGGCCAGGGCGGCCAGGGGCGGCCAGGGGGAGGGGCTTTGACGGCGCGTCACCTGCGTTGCAGCCAAGCAGGAATGGCTCATAAAACCCGCGGCAATTACTTCATCTTTTTACGTCACGGGTCCCTCGGTCGCCCCGATGCACTCCGTCTACTTTGGCGGCTTTTCATTAGTGGGGAAGAAGGCAGCGGTCTCGGAAAGGTGCCGTCCCTGTCTAGAGTGCCATGTTCTTCGGGGAGGGGCGCGATAATTATCGGTTGCGCGGTGGGCCAAGGCGGCCAAGGCGGCCAAGGCAGCCGGGGCGGGGCCGCCTTCAAGGTGGAATCGAAACTCTTTTCTGGTGCAGAACGGCGGCCCCAATTTCCGGTCCGCAACAACAATGACCGCCTATATTGTGGCCCCTCCCTTCCCCTCCACCAGCGGCTTTGATCGGAGAATCACGAGGCTCCATCTCAGGACCGGCACGGCCGGCACGGACCGGCACGGACCGGCACGCAGGCAACAACTTGGGGCCAAAGACCAGGAAAATGGCTTCGGCGCCCACTCTCGGTGTGTCCAGAGCGCGCTGGCGGGTGCGAGGGGGAGGGAGGGAAAGGTTGGCCCATTCATGATGAGATTGAAGGCCTGGCCGGGCCTCGGTTCCCGGTGCACGGTGAGCACCACCAGGTTGCTGCAGCGCAGTGTGCCAGAAGACCGGTGGAGGCGGCCGAAATCCCAGATGCGTTTTGAGCTCCAGAATCGCTAAACAGGACTCGAACCGAGCGTGTGACCCCACCAATGGATTCCTCGTTCGGAGAGCAATCCATTGGTGGGGTCACACGTTCGGTTCGAGTCCTGTTTAGCGATTCTGGAGCTCAAAACGCGTCTAGAGTTTTGGCCGCCCCCACCGGTCTTCTGGCCCACTGCGAAGGCTGCAGCAGGCTACTGCAGCCTCCTGGTCCGCCCCATGGCCTGAAAATGCCAGGCCAGATAGTATGTGACGTCGGCCGGCGATGCACCGACCGCACTTTGATGGATGGCCCGCAGCGACACTGCAAGGCATGCACACCGCGATAACGCGGCCAGAAATATCGCTGCGCATTTTACGCGCCGTTCCCTCCTGTCTTTGTTCTCGCTTTTCGGCCTTTTTCCTGCCCCCGCTGCTTCGCCGTTTCGCAGATTCGTCTCTGGAAACCCCTCGCGTCCGGTGACAGGAAACGGACCGCCCCCGACACCGTGACGTCATCCAGTGCGATTGTGACGTCACGAAGGGGGAAGGGGGGGGTAATAAAAGTGAGCTGATGCTCTTAGCATATTCAAGGAAGCCCCGCCGCTGTCGCTCCGTTTCTCGCGGTAAAGTTGCTCGGCTAGTTTAGCTAGTTGCTGCGCGGCTCTCTCAATGGTATTTGCATGGCGGAGTAAAGCGCCACTTTTAACGGTATCGCGCCGTGGCCGAGGCGCGCGCGCTTCGGCACTCTGCAAAAACACGCCGCGCCGGAATATATACGAAAACCGTATGCAAATCACCACAACACACGATAGCGCGCTCTCTCTCACACACACACACACACACGCAGGCACGCGCAGACAGGCCCCCCCCCCCTCCCGTTTTATAGGGCCAAATGTCAGCAGATCCCCACCTAAAACCACAGACTGGCGTGAATCGCGAATAAAATCAGCAAAATCTCGACGAAGCAAATTCAAAGAGAAAGGTTATGGCACGGCACCGAGGGAAGGGCTCACACACACACACACACACACACTACACACACACACACACACACACACACACACACAGCGCGGGTGATGTGAATCCGTCCGTGCGCTCACGTGTGCGTGTGTGTGTGAGCGAGTGTGTCGGTGTGCGCGCACGCGCGGGTGTGCCAACACTAATAATTTATTGTTTGCTTTCACAATGGTGTAACACTGCTCGGGGGGGTAGAGATCACGAGGGAACATGGCTGAGCCGTAGTGAAATGGCAAGAGGAGAGGGAGGCTGTGGCGAGTCCCCCCACCTCCTCCCCGCGGACCACAGCCGCGCGAACGCAGCGCCGCGCAGCGCGCAGTGCACCAGTCGGCATATTGTAAACTGGTCCCAATTCAATCAATATGGCTTCTAATTAAAAGGGGCGGTACCCAAGCAGCGAGCAGGCACTGGCCAGACGACCGCGCGGTCGGTCACGTGTCACAGCCAGCGAGGCAGGCAGTCTGGCAGCCAGGCCAGGCAGCCAGCGAAACAGGCACCGCGTTGGTAGCCTGCTTCGTCCCAAACAGCAGCCACATTAAACGTGATTTCCTGCTGGCCGGTCCAGGTCGGCCCCCGCTGGACCACACTAATGTGTGCCGACACTGTATGCATTGGCTGCTGCATTGGCTGCCGCCAGCCCGCGTCCCCTGTGGCCCTGCCTGCCTGCCTCCCTGCCGCAGGCAGTCACACGGACCGCCACGTCAAATGGCTTTCGATGGATTGATGGATTTTCCGGCTAGATTGTGTGGGCAAGACGGACCGCGATCGCATTTTAGCTCCGATGGAACCGTGGCGCCTGCGGAACTTTGATTACCGAACCATCTACAGCCAGTGACAATAAAAACGCGGAGTTTGGAACGCGGGGATGAAAAATTGGCAAGTTCCATTAATTTCTGTTGTTGACAATTAATCATTTTTGACACGGAGCGACCGAGATTTGGGTACGCATGGCGTGCAACGCGAGCGGCCCGGCGAGCCTCTGAATCCCTAAATCATATCCATTACCCATAATCTCGTTGGCGCGGGCCGCCCCGCGGGAGGCAGGTCTACGTGAGCGCCCGACCGTCTAGGCCGGCCGCCGCGCACCCGCGTGTCGCCCAGCGGGGGCGGCCTACCTCGCCGGGCGCCCGCCGCCAGACGCGCTTTGGAGCCGCGGCCAAAGCCGTGGTGTCCGAGGCCGTGGTGTCCGAGGCCGTGTGCGAGCCCATGCGCGAGACCATGTCCGACCGAGGCCATGCCCGAGGCCGTGTCCGAAACCATGACCAACGCCGCGCCCGAGGCCGTCTCCGAGGCCGTGATCCTGGCGGTGGCCGGAATAAACCGGAGAAACAAGAAGCTGCGAAACACGGCCAGCAAGCCACACCGCACCGGCTCTGTCGAAAACACGCGGAAATGTTTAATTAGAGCGAATTAGCTGACATTCTGGGGCCGCAGTGTGTGTGTGTGTGTGTGTGTGTGTGTGTGTGTGTGTGTGTACAAGCGTGATGCGGTGGAAGCAGCAGACGGACCAGGAAGTGACGCTGACGTCACACCTCCCCGCCCCTTCGCCCCTTCCGCGAACCTCAACACCACGCCACTGTACACCCCGGGCCGGGCCGGGGCGGCGCGGGTCCGCACGCCCAGCCAACGAAAAGCTGGCTAATGAAATTTCACACGGTGCTGGCGGCCGCGCCACGCCACGCCGCGCCACGCCACGCCGCCACGGGGATCAGAGCGACTCGTGCACGGTCCGCGCAAACAACGGGGAAGGCTGGCCGGGGCCAAAAAGAGGGTCCGGCTTTACAAGGGAGGCTCCCAGGTCATTGCTGTGTGCGTTGTAATCAACAAAGTTGGCCGGCTGGCACTACTTTACGCCTTTTCAGTAAATAGGCTACGCGGAATGAGAATGCATGCTGCACACACGTAAATCCGAATTAGCTCCGGATTAGCTCGGACCTTGACAAGTGGTATTCGAGCGGTGTTTCGAAGTGAGACCGCGCGACGTACTCGCTGCGCACACGTCCCCGCTGCCTGCAGTGTGCTGCCCCTGCAGTGTAGTGTCACTGTCGCAGCTGCACGCCAGTGAGGCTTCGCTCAAATATGGATGTCGGCCCTGCTAACCGGGTCCCGCGAAGCTGCCGGGTCGCGCCAGGGCTACCCGCTTTCCCAGCTCACAGTGGGCCAGCAGAAGACCGGTGGAGGCGGTCCAAATCCCGGGCGCGTTTTCAGCTCCGAAAGGCGTTTTCTTCGCGCTGTCTCTCGCACCAATAAGGAACGCCCCATAAGAGCGAGAGAGAGAGAGAGAGAGAGAGAGAGAGAGCGACGAAAACGCCCCGGAATCGGCCATTGTGCCGGGCCGCGACAAGGCGTCCGCCACCTCGACAAAAACCGCGCCGCTTGCTCTACTTGTTGCGGACAGACGCGCTGATGACGCGAGCAGTAATGATTGCCGAGGAGGAAACATGAGGCGCCAAGGCGAGCCATCTGGAAATGGTGTAACCAGAAAAGCATAATCGCAAAAAAAAAAGACGAACGAAATAGGATGGCGCGCGCAGCACTCAATTTCAAAGCTGTTTGGAGCGCGTAGATTTGAAAAGGAATTCATTTTGGGGCCGGGCCGGGCGGGGCCGAGCGGGGCCACCCTTCCTGTCCAGTGCGCTGCTTCTGAAGATATTTCTGAGGCTGGCGCGGCACAGGCAGCAATTTCGTATTCAATGTCCCCGCAAAACAGCGCTCTCCGTTTCGTTTTCCACCGGGCTCAATGCTTCCCTTGAATCCCCTCCCCCTTCCCCGCCGCGGCTTGTCTGTCTCGCGGTCGCGTGGCGTGCGCGTCGCCGCGGCCCGGGGCTTTCGGCTCTCGCTCCCTTTGGACGCCAAGTGGCCGCGACTCAGCAAGCCCTGCCAGCTTTGCAGCACGCCCTGCGAGCTTTGCTGGCCCTGCACAAGCTTTGCTGGCCCTGCTCAAGCTTTGGTAGCCCTGCATGCTGCACCAGCAAAATGCCGCAGGTCTTGTTCAGCCAAAGCGATCGGCTAGTCGTCGACTGCAAGGGGAGGGGGAGGGGGAGAGAAAAAGGGAGGGGGGGGGGGTCAAGTCTTCCGCAACCAGGGCTTCGCTCTCGCCTTCCCTCCTCCGTAAACTTTCTCGGACCCGGGACGGGACACGCTACGCGTGCTGTGTCTAGGGACCCTAACTGACTTGGAGGCGGGCCTCCAGCTCCCCACCCCCCACACCCTTTTCCCAGTCTCACACTGAAAACGGGATGCAGCCATCATGTATTACAACACAGCGGTCAGAGCAATACACACACACACACACACACACACCAACAAACAGAGAACGCATCAAACGGATGCGACGTGTGCCAGTGAGCGGACGGACGGATGGACGAGCGGCGGTCAGCGTGACAAAATAAGTAACAATGTGAAAGTAGCTCTCGTTTTCGCGTTCTTTTTTTCGTGAGGGGCGGAAAAAGAAGAATAAAAGTACAACACAAAATAAAAAGAGAATGACAGCGCGCGGTGCGCCGCATTGCGCCGCGTGCATCACCATGGAGCGACACCGAAATAATTACTCTCTCTCTCTCTCTCTCTCCCCTCTGTGCGTGTGTGTCAAAAATGAGAGCGGGGCGGCAGGCGAAGAACCCGCGTCGGGGAAGGACAAGAATTGGTAGCGCGATCACGAAAGATTTCAGAGAGAGAGGGAAGGGGTGGGGGCTAAGAATTACGAATGGGAGGGCGCTCGCACTTTCGCCGCGACGTTGACGTTGCAACGTGACCCGAAAAAATGGATAAATCACGGGGCGAGAATTACTCGCAGGAAATAAGGAGAGAAAGCCTTTCAAACGGTGAATAACGACTCGGGTTGGGGTTGGTTGGGGGGGGGGGGGTGCTAGTGGGGTCGGACACCCTCACGCCATCACCTGGGACTGCCGATTAGAAAGCCAAGCCTCTCAAAGACAGCTGGCTCCTTGAAAAGCGGGCGCGGCGACGGTGGCGCGCTCTATTCGATTGAGGCGGCCCGGTGCTCACAATCGCGGGGGGGGGGGGGGGGGGGGGGTCACGGAACCCTGTGGCGCCACGTCCCCGAGCTAAGCATTCTGGTCGTGCCTCTTCTTGGCTTACAAGGACCGCCGGAAGGAAGGAAACAAAGCGGCCGGAACCTTGTCAACGCGTTTACGGACCTCTCTCTCTCTCTCTCTCTCTCTCTCTCTCTCTCTCTCTCTCCCAGCTCACACTCACACTTCCTAAATAAAGCAAAGCCAATGACACACACAGCCCTTTCTTCCAGGTGGAGAGAGAGAGAGAGAGAGGAGGAGAGCAAGGGAACAGGGCGGGGCCTAGCTTGTAGTGACATCCCGAAAAGGGCTACTGGGTCAGTCCCGAAGGCGTGCACCGGCTTTCCCTACATCATGGAATATGCATCGCGGTGTGTGTGTGTGTGAGAGAGAGAGGGAGAGAGAGAGAGAGAGCAGGTGGCACTGATTGTCCACACTCTGAATGGCCTCGGACACACCACGCAAGATACGGTCGCGCAGAAGCCACGCCTACGCGCACCACACCATGGAATCAATGCAAGGAAGGACCATCCCGAGCGTTCTGGTCGGTGCGCAGGCTGTGCTGACTTTCACTGCCCGGCTTTGCACCTCGTGGACACACAGCCCAGCCAGCCAGCCGTTTGACGGTGTACAGCCCTGACCCGTGTAGTGTAGTCGGGGCGCCCAGCCCAGCGCAGCCAGCGCCCATGGGCAACCACCCTGTCTTGTACAAAAGGAACACCCAGCCAGGAACACGCACGGCTACGCCGAGCCACGCCGAGCCACGCCGGCAACGGGGCGGGTCAGGTGCATCCTACGACAGTGCGTACCTACACTGTGCGTTGCGTGCCTGCGGGGGGCGGGCAGACAGACAGACAGACACACACACACACACACACGTGCAGGTGTGGCACCGACAAAGCGCATGTGTGACACGTGGCAGCGAAATGATCCCCTTTAAACGGCACCGCCTGCCCCGGCAACCAGCACACCGGGGGCAATTACCATTTCTCTCGGTGAGGAAGCACACTGTGTGTGTGTCTGTGTGTGCGTGGCGAGTCATGGGGACAGCGAGATGAGAACACCGCGGCTCGGCGATGAAAATTCCTGCGCGACACGGCGAAACGAAAACACCGTATCAACGAATTCAAATGTCGCGCCGAAAGAGACGCACCAGCTGCGCCGCGCTATCTATTCTGCCGGCCCCGAAATTCGCGTCGCCATTTCGAGAGCTGTAATGTGACACACACAAAATTGACTTCAAGTAATGAGCAGGGGACAGGAATGGCCAGGCGAAGGGTGACGTCACTGTTGGTGATTTCGAATGAGGAGGTTCGCGACCTGGCAATGCATTCCATTGGTGGGGTCACACGTTCGGTTCGAGTCCCATTTAGCGACTCTGGAGCTCAAAACGCGTCTGGGATTCTTGCCGCCTCCACCGGTCTTCTGGCCCACTGTGCGTCGGGTGCTCTGTCTCCCTCGCACTCGTGTGGCGTGGCCGTAGGGGTGCGAGAGAGACAGACCGACGCACCGACAAACGGATGGAGCGCGACCGACCCTTTTTACACTTAACGTTCTCATTAAAACGTCTGGCCTGCAAAAAAAAGGCGAGCCATGCACTCTGCGGTGAAAGGGCGGCTTTCATAAAGTCTTCTCTTTAAACGGCGGCTGCTTTCTCCCTGTAAACGTCGAGTACCAGAGTGGTTAAGTCAGCACACGAAGTGCGATCGATGCCACAAGTTATCGAGGGACAGCTGGGAGTGTTTTTGTTTCAGCTGCTTATTAGTCTTCAAACAGAAAGTTAAGCAGCATCATGCCAACAGAAAGGTACTCTCCCCTGCTTCTCTTGCTTCTTCTTCTTCTTCTTCTTCTTCTCTTCCTCCTCCCTTGTTTTTTTGGTCCCCAGCCACTAATACACCACCCGGGCTAACGGCCTTCTAATGACGATGCAACCGCCGTCGTGTAGTGCTTGGCAGTGCGGTGCGCGCCCCTTTTCCAGTGGGGATGCAAATTCGGAAACTTGCCGCGCCGTCCAGTCCCTTTCACTTTCCGTAATTAATTCAATTCATTATTTTTCCTGTGCGACACCCAAAGAGCGCGCGCGGGGGGCGTGGGTGGGCCACCCCCTTTTTTTTAATCAGAGCGACCAACCCCACTCTCAGTGAGTTCTTGACGTGCGAGAAGGGCAGTGCCACCGCTTAGTGAGACATCGCACCTCTCGAGGACACACCACGGAACGAAAACCGAGAAACGGCCAAACTGGTTTCAAACAGTGTAGGAAGCCTTGGGGCCTACACTAGACATGCTGATTCTCGGGTTGGCCCGCCTCGCCTCACGGCCAGGGCTTCCCTTTCAACGAAAGCTTTCGGTCCTCCTCGGAGCGGCAATAAGGCCGACTGGCAGACCACAGTGGGCCAGAAGACCGGTGGAGGCGATCAAAATCCCGGACGCGTTTTGAGCTCCAGCGTCGCTAAACGGGACTCGAACCGAACGTGTGACCCCACCAATGGATTGCTCTCCGAACGAGGAATCCATTGGTGGGGTCACACGTTCGGTTCGAGTCCTGTTTAGCGACTCTGGAGCTCGAAAAGCGTCTAGAATTTTGACCGTCGTCACCGAACAGGCGTTACGTTTTAATCAGGCCGATGCAGCGCGGCAGAGTGAATGTAGTTAAAGTTGCATCCGCCTTCAAAGCGCCGAATTGGAAGTCGGTCGCCGCCTTGCCCTCTTTGAGGAGGCGCCGCCTGCCAAAGCCAGGCCGAGCCAGCAGCGGGAAAAATAAATGAAGGCGCCCTCCGTCTCCCTCGCACTCTCGGGGCGTCCCACTGCGGTGCGAGAGAGACAGAGGACAGGGTGGACACGAAGCCAGCCAGGCCTTTGTCTTGAAAGCGCCTCAAATATTCATCGGGTAGGTAAGGCCGACATCAGACTGGGAGTCTTCGCTCTGTCCCTCTCGCGCCGATAGGAGACGCCTAAAGAGTGGAAGGGAGACAGAGCGACGAAGACGACTCCCGGAATGAGTCTGCAGGCTGGCCAACTTGGGGGCGTCAGCGCGTCAGCCTTTCCGAAAGTGAAAGCTAAAGTGCTCCCTCGGCCTCTGGTTGCCGATGAACCACTGCGACGACACCCGGAAAAGAGTCGCCTTGTCCCTTAAGGAGCTATCAAAAGAATTCCTTTGAAGCGATGAAAGTACGCAGGTCTCAAGGATTGAAAATAGGGCAAAAAGAAGTCGTAATTTTTTCCAGGAACTCCCTGGAAATAACCTTTTGTCTTCACTGCAGGCTATACCTGCGAAAACCAGGAACCGTTTATGCCTTTCACAAAAAGGGGACAGTCGCTGCAAAAAGTGAAAACACTCGCTCACCATTTGGTTGTTGATGAGCCACTGCACCGTGGCGGGCGGCCACGATTTGTCCGACGTGCAGTTGGCCTCGATCTTGTCGCCCAGGTTGTAGGCCTTCTCCACGCCCGAGACGGCGGGCTTGCTCTGCGGCAGACCTGCGGAACGAAACCAAAGCGGTCACACAGAGGCCCTGTGAGTGCGAGCGAGACGGGGTGCGGCACGACACCTGCCCCGAAGGGACGGCGGAGGGGCCCGGCCGGCCGAGCGGGCCGAGCCCCGCGGAGACGAGTTCAATAGAAATAGCCAATTTTAGCGCCGCTTTCCGAAGCAATAACGATCGTCTCCCGCCGCACAATGGAGGAACCGAAGCAACTTGTCCGCCCAGCGAGAGCGAGCGAGACGCACAGCCCACTCCCCTTCCTCTTATCGGGCCCCCTCTCTCGAGGCAGTGAACGCACTTAGCCGCACCGATGCAAATCTCGACTGAAGTGGCACTTTGGAGTGGTACCGAGCACGAGGGTGGAATTCACCTGCCGGCAGCCCTAGCCCGGCCCGGCCCAGCCACTCACGGCGGAGCGGTTGAAATGAGCAATAATCCCTCGTCGGACGCGCCGCGCCGCTGTGGGATTCGAACCAGCGCGACTCGCAGTGCAGGCCCGCCCCGCCCGATAAGGATACCGATAGGGATCCTGGCACGGCGCTGGCGGTCCTGGCCGAGGTCCTGGCTTCGGATTGGCCGAGGGAACTGCCGATCCCTGATTCCCCCAATCCCTGCAGGGGCCGGCCGGGCCTGGCCGCCGAGCCGCCGCCCATAACGGCACCAAGTGGGCCCTTAGTGGGCCCAGGCGACCGATTGATTTAGGGAGTGTATGTGGCGAGGAGGAAGGGTGCGCGGCCCAGCCAGCCGGACACCAAAGCCATCAGCATCATGGCTCGGCTCGCCAGAAACAGAGGTCCGCGTCGTGACGTGGCATCGAAGACCCGGCAAGTTGAAATTGCCACCCGGACGCTCCCCGCCCGCCGCACGATTCCAGTGTCGGAGTGACTCGCCGAGACGCCGAAAGCGGCAGAAAGCGGCAGAAAGCGGCAGAAAGCGGCAGAAAGCGGCAGAAAGCGGCAGAAAGCGGCAGAAAGCGGCAAAAAGCCCGCGAACCCGCGCGCGGCATGGCGGTTAGTCCGCTAAGCAGCTTTCATCGGCATAATACAGCAGTTCATAGCTGTCCCCGCAGTAACAAACTTGCAGAAGCAAAAGTCGGTTGGGGGGGGGGGGGGTGCAACTGGGGGACGACATCGCGGATGCTCTCGGTCACTCCTCCCGATGGCACGGCCAGCACGGCCGGGTTGGCACAGAGAGAGGGAGGGAGACAGAGCGATAAGAGTGAGGGAGCCCCGAGATGGTTGATACGGACTGGGGCGGCAGGGCGCTGCGCTGGGCGCACACTGGCTGGGTCATGATTCACCGTGCGAGTGAGAAGACCGGCGACTGCAGGGAGGGAGCGCCACTGCGCCCGAAATCACCCCGCGCCACTGTAAAGCTGTTAAAAATACGCTCCCAATTGCTCTGGGCTCACGAAACACGCGCGCGCGGCGAGCGATTTGTTTCCTTTCGGGCTTCGCTGGGATGATGTAGGTTCCAGGTGTTAGCCAGTGGCTGAGTATTTTCCCCTCCACACCTCCCCGACTCGGCTCGGCGGGCGTGAGGCCTGCGCCCACACCGGTAGCCCCAAAGCCCCGTGTAATTGGCGTGCCTTCACTTGTTGCTCGGCTCGGGTGTTCCGGCCGGGGCGGGGCGGGGCGGGGCGGGGTGGGCATAAAAAAAGGCGGGTCCGGCGACTAGCAGTGTGCCGACGGTACGCACTTCCGCCTCTGGTGTCGATACAACACCTCCAAGAGTCAAACCTCACGGAGAATGATGTTTGGAGGGACGTGGAACAAACAACAACAACAACAAAATGGTTGGAAAGCGCGCTTTTCCCGCGAGGCAGCCCGGCGGGGCGGCGCGGGGCGGGCGCGGGGCGGTCGAGGTAAATCAGCGGGGCATTCATCAGAGCCGCGCGAGCCACAGGGGCGGCGGCGGGGTGGGGGCCCCCTAAACAATGTTATTATTGTATCTGGTGGCGACTTGATATATGAAGCCATTGTGGGTGATGCGCTACAAAGGCGGCCCGACATCCGCGCTTAGTGCTGCCGCGTGCATTGTGGCCTTTCGTTTCATTGCCGCCTAGGCTCATCGCAGTGGATTTGCCAGAAGACCGGCGGAGGCGGCCAAAACTGCAGACGCGTTTTGAGCTCCAGAGTCGCTAAACAGGACTCGAACCGCACGTGTGACCTCACCAATGGATTGCTCTCCGAACGAGGAATCCATTGGTGGGATCACACGTGCGGTTCGAGTCCTGTTTAGCGACTCTGGAGCTCAAAACGCGTCTAGAGTTTTGGCCGCCTCCACCGGTCTTCTGGCCCACTGTGCCCCGCACTTCTGATTTCCTGCAAATCCTTTTGTTCGTATTACGAAGGAAAAGCTCAGTAGGATGTTGAGAGTGCAAGGGAAATCCATCGAGACCAACTCAAGCGCAATGCCGAGGACGGTACTGCTGCAAAAGGCTCTGTGCGTCTGCTGGCCCTTGCGCCTGCCTCCACACGAGGAGCATTGCCCTGCCCTGCCCTGCCGTGCCGTGCCGTGCCCTGCCCTGCCGTCAGCTCCCCAGGCGGCGTGTCCACGGTAATCCTGTTGCCCGGGAATATGCCGGTGTTAAGACACTTTCAGACACAAGGGTGTTCTTTTCCCCCGCCGCCATAACGCATTAATATAAAACTTTCAGTTTGGCCAACTTTTTTTTTCGCCGCCTCTCTCTCTCTTGCGTGCCTTTCATCCCCTCCGGGTACAATCATCATTTCCATGCCTGGACAGAAAAAAAAGAGGAAAGTCTTTGCAACAATTTAACGGGCAACGCGTTCCAGCTGTGCGCGACTTGCAAGGCGCTGCTGGTCCTACAGTGGCGTGGCGCTAGGCACAGTCGACTGGCCTTGATCACAGCACTCGAAAATTTAATCATTGCGGACCGACACATGCGTGGGCCTCTTCAGCCACCTCAACTAAGTTCTAAAGGAGATTGCACCTCGCGGCTGGAATCTACCGGTTTCCTGGCGCGGTGGGACAGGGCGCAGTGGGGTTGCAAGAAGACCAGTGTAGGCGGACGAAACTGTCGAGTGTCGCTGACAGGACTCGAACCTAACGTGTGACCCCACCAATGGACTCCTCGTTCGGAGAGCAATCCATTGGTGGGGTCACACGATCGCTTCGAGTTCCATTTAGCGACTCTGGGGCTCTAAACGCGTGCGGGATTTTGACCACCCAGTGTGGTAGAAAAAGCGGCCGCCCATTGCCCTTCCTTGATTTATCGCGGGCTGAGGCGGCCAGACGGAACTACTTTGAGGCGATGCTCCATCGATCAGCTCATTTCACCAACATTTCCACGAAGTGCGGGAATTTTTAAACAGCAACTCGGGCAAAGTGCCCCAGTCCATCCGGAGCGGCGCGGTGCTGGAGGGCTGTGCCGCGGCACGCGGAAACATTAATTTTTACCAATAAACGATTTTGACGATAAGAGGAAAAGACGCGTCATCAAATTTGCTGGCTGAACTTTTCATTCGGAAGTTTGGATGAGTCCAATGCTTTACTTTCAATGATGACAGTGTCACTACACCTCGCGGAAGGACACTAAAAGTCCAGTCGCTTAACTTACCCAGCACGGTCATGTTGCTCTCCTGGTGCACCGTCTCGAACTTGGGCGCGTCCGCCGACACCTCGCAGCGAAACGTGCCCGAGGTGTTGTAGTACAGCGGCCGCAGCGTCACCCGCGTGTCGTACGACTTGCTGGGGCTCAACTGCAACAGAACGCCGACCGCAAAATCAGGAAAACAGTGAAAGAAAGGCAGTCGTTTGCAACAAAGACAGCCACTCAATCAGCGAAAAGAAAAAGGTGAACAGGATAGGCATGACTATTATTCCATGTCAGGGTCGCACCGCATTATTGCAAAACTGTCGCGCTCTTTTCGGACGCGGTTCGCGACTTGGCAACACGTAGAGCAACAAGACAGCCATTCGATACTTCCGCCCCTCCCTCCGGCCGACAGAGATGACTGGCTACCAATTACAAGACGACGTGGCGCCGAGAGTCGCGGCATTCCGACCAGGCGATACGTCCCCTTGGGGCCCTCTGTGCTTCTCTGTGACGCGGAGGGGGGGGGGGGGAGCCCCGAGGAGCCCACCAGTTATCGGCAGGTACGTCGCCAACACTTGTGTCGGCAGCCTCCTTACCACATCGTTATTCCAGACACCTCATTATCCATCCGCCTCGGCGTGCGTATTGACGTCTGCCTCAATTCTCTCTCTCTCTCTCTCTCTCTCTCTCTCTCTCTCTCTCTCTCTCTCTCTCTCTCTCTCTCTCTCTCTCTCTCTCGCTCTCTTGGCACCCACTCCTTATTTATTTCGACAACTTTCACCCCATTATAATATTTTTCGTGTGCGAGCTGTTTCGCGGAATAACGACCACAGACCCTGTGGCCTGCAGACTGATTCCGAGAGTCGCCTTCGTCGCTCCGTCTCTCTCGCACTCACGGGCCGTCCCGTGCAGGTGCGAGAGAGACAGAGAGAGTCTCGGAGTCAGTCCACTGTGGGGCCTGTGTGCCCGCGAGGCCGCGGGGAGACTAACCGCCGTTTTGCGTATCCTTGTTTTTTGTCCCTTTCTTCGGGGAGACCCTTTGGCATGCGTTTGTGTGCGATCGTACGTAGCGCCGTGTACTTGCGAGAAGGGAAGTCTGTCTTTCTGTCTGTCTGTCTGTCTCTCTCTCTCTCTCTCTCTCTCTCTCTCTCTCTCGCACACGTGGGCATTACGAGGTGCACGTGCGAATCCATGCGCTCTCCCTTTCATGCCGTCTTGGCCCTGTTTGCCAGAAACAATGGAGTCATTACTTGCGGCACATGCTGCACGTCAAAGGCTCTCTCTCTCTCTCTCTCTCTCTCTCTCTCTCTCTCTCTCTCTCTCTCTCTCTCTCTCTGCCTCTTTACGCGAGCAATCGACGCGGCTGGCACTACTCTGCAGCCCTCTCTCCCTCTAGCAGTGCTTCGCATGCAGTGAGCCAGCAGGCACGCACCCTCGCCCTCGCCAACAATCAGCAGGATGTTTTCCACATTTTTGCGCTCAGCCAATGAGGGAGGAGTGAGTGGGGATAAGCCTTCCGCACGATTCAAAGTTTGCGTTTCCGCTGTATAGGATCCATTTCCTTGTTATATTTGCATTTGCGAGGTGCAGTTCCTTACGCTGAGCACCCTGTTTCTCCCATTACCCGCTCTCCCCCCCCTCCCCTCTCCCTCTCCCCTCTCTCTCTCTCTCTCTCTCTCTCTCTCTCTCTCTCTCTCTCTTTTCGCACACACACACACACACACAAACAACAACAAAAACAACAACAAAATCGCGCGCGCAGAAAAACGGTGCGCCACCATCTTCAAGCAGACGATGCGGCGGAGACTTATTGGAAGTTGCAAAGGAAATAATAAAACACAAAGACGCGCCGCACAACACGCAGGCGCGCGCGCGCGCGGTTGGATCGCACGCACGCACGAACACACACACACACAGACTGAGGGCGCTACACTCTTTGGTCGGTACTCATCGGGCAGAGCAGTGCGCGTACACGCCATTTCGCCCGCCGCCCGGAGCTCCCCGCGTCGTCCATTCCATTCCAGGCACCCCGCCCCGCCCGAAAAATATAGGGAGGGCACGGCGGCATGAATGTAGAACAACAGCGAGGACCCCTTCCAATCTGCCAGGCATATTGCCACGTATGCCAGGTGTAGGCCGGCAACGCGCACGCACTCACACACACACACACACACACAAACACTCACACGCACACCTACACTCACACGCACACACACACAGAGTGAGATGAGGCGCGAATACGCACGTGCATCCAAAGACCTTTCCCCCAAAAAAGGCGTGTCGAGGAGAAGAGAGGCTGAACCACTTTTGGGCTGCTTGCTGCTGCCAGTCAGCACACGCAGGGCAGGGACGAAACCTTTGGAGAGATCGCAGGTTTCGTGCTCTGTACGCATCGCAAGCCGAGTCGTCTCTTGTCGTGCAAACTGGCCCACCGGTAGACTTCCGAGAGTCGTCGCTCTGTCCCCATGAGTGCGAGAGAGACAGAGCTACGCCGCTCTACCAGCACCGCTCATGGCGACTCGCGCTCGCAGGAAGCAGAATCCCGTTCGTTTTTCCCGCCACACAACACGGCCAATTATCCCAGACGCTGCACCGCCGTGCAGGCCGTCTCTCTCTCTCTCTCTCTCTCTCTCTCTCTCTCTCTCTCTCTCTCTCTCTCTCTCTCTCTCTCTCTCTCACGGCGCGCCCCGCGAGGGGTGCGAGAGAGCGAGAAGGCCGCGTAGGCATCCCCGTAAAGCCGGCTGCCCTATCCCCGGCTGGGAATCGATGTAAGACTGCAAACAAAGAGCACACTTTGCATGCCGGGGACGCCGAGCAGAGCTGCTTCGCTGCTCCGCCTCAAGCTCGCTGCCACGCTCTTCAACTAATAACACTCAGGGTGAGCGTGGCGGGGCGGGGCGTGGCGTGGCGGGGCGTGGCGGGGCGTGGCGGGGCGAGGGCAGCCCCACCGACCCGGTCGCCTGGGCTACTTCCGAATTCCTCACACGCCCTCTTACACCAACGCGTGGACAAACAGCCATACACAACCACCGTGAGCGAGCGTCCCTTGCGTGCATGAGTGTGGGTGAGAGAGAGAGAGAGAGAGAGAGAGAGAGAAGCCAAGCAGGGAGACGAGACGAGGTGGAGAAAGTTACACAGCAGAGCCCCGCCGTAGAAACCATCCATACAGCACCAGGGCAGAGCGTAACTCACACCCTCACACCCCCTTCACACGCTCACACACACACACACAAAGAGTACGCACCGCATCCCCCACCCCACAAAAAATTAATAAGACGGTGGCTTTGCGTTCATCCCCACCCCAAAAGTACTGAGGAAATATTTCATTTAACCTTTTTTTCTTCTCTTACTTCATTGCGGTCTCCGTTAGGTTTCTTTTTCGTGAACGTGTGTCTGTTTGTCTGTGTGTGTGTGTGTGTGTTCGCATACCTTAAGCCAAGAGGCCAGTTTGAATGGAAACAGCGAGAAAGAGGGGGGGGGGAGAGGGGCGTGAAAAAAACAGGCAGCCTTTCCGGCCTATATACTCGCCGCCCGAGGCACAGCCCCGGGCACAGCCAGAGCCTTCTACCTCATTCGCCTCTACGACTCAATAACAAATTTCCCGCCGAATAAAAGTGGGAAAGAGACAAGCACGGCACTGTAAATCATAGCGGGGACCCACGCGGTGGGAGAGGGCCAAAAGGGGTCGGAAGGGGTCGGAGGTGCGGCCCGGCTCGGCTAGCCTCCAGCCCGGCCTCTCCGGCCTCTCCAGCCTCCGGGCCGCCATTCCTCAAATCCGAATAAAATGCAAATGACCCCTTCTTATCGCGGCCGGGGTGTTGGTTGTTATCGCCACTGTATCAAAAGGCGTTCGTCCATCAACTGCTGAGGACGAGGAGGAGGAGGAGGAGGAGGAGGAGGAGGAGGGGGGCTGAGGGGGAGCAGCAGCGGTGCACCGGCTTGTTCATTGCTTCCGTCCTGTACTTGGGAACTTTAGAAGCCGCTGTCTGCACCGCGGCCCGGCCTGGCCCGTCCTGGCCCGTCCTGGTCCCGGCCAGGCCCCGCCTGCTCCGCCCCGGGTCAGGTGGCATGGCGCGGTGGAATATCCTTCCACGGCGAGGTGGAGCGCGTTTCAAAAACGGCGAGCAGACACAACCGCTACTTAGGCAGGGGAACGGCGTCCAAGCGAGCCGCACCTTGCGGGGCACCTCGCTTCAGTCTGTCTCTCTCGCACTCATGGGGCGTCCCGTACAGGTGCGAGAGAGACAGAGCGACGACTCTCAGCAGCACGGCGTCGTTCGTCGTCGATTCGGGCAAATCCCCTCGGCCGCGCACTGACTGCAGTGCGGATTCGAGTCAGGTCGTGGCGGTGCGCCGAGCGGCGCGCTGATAGGCCATTCTCCCCGGGCACGTCCGCAGCCACTAGAGTCACTACAGCACGCGGCAGCACGCGGCGAGGACGCCGGGGAGGCACACACCGCGCCGCGCCGTCTAGGGTCCTCACGGAACCGGCCAAACTTTTCTTCACTAAAGGTTCTTCAAACATGAGACTCTGGAACTCGGCTGGCAGGCAGCAGCCAGGCAGGCAGGCAGGCAGCAGCCAGGCAGGCAGGCAGGCAGGCAGCCAGCCTGCTGCGCAGCGCTGCTGCTGCTGCCGGTCCTCCCCTTCCATGCCCTTCTCCTCCTTGGCTGTGATTTAGCTCCCCGACGCCGCATTACCACCGAACCAACCCCAATTCTCGGCGGCCCCTTTTCTGTTTTTAAATTCGCCAGCGCCGCCGCGCGCGCCCTCTGCGCCCGACGCAACGTAACGGATGGGCTGGGAGGCGGCGAAGGGACGAACTACAACAACAACAACAACAACAGCATCGAGGCTGTTCCATCCGGGGCAGACGAGTACCCCTTCTTGGGGTTTGTCGCAGCCCGTTCGGACAAAAAGAAAAGACAGGGAAGGGAACCCGGGCCAAGAAAATACCAATATCGGAGGAAACGACACCGGTGGTTCAAGCCCGAGGGGTAGGTAGAGTGAAGCTTCGGATGCTGTAGCTTGCACAAGAGGTACCCAACTCAAGATAATCATTGCACGTCTAGTTGGTAATCAGTGAAATAATCAACATCATCCAATGAAATGACAATCATACTTTCGGGGATTCAATCTTTTTTGACCATTTTTGCGAGACCACTGCTCCCAAACTATCAGCGGTCAAAGCCTTCCCGAGGCGGGGCATGAAAGAGTAGGGTCTTCAGAATAGGAAGGCGTCGAGGGAGGCCTTTGACCGCTACTAAATTGGATGCGGTGACCGCTCAAAGTCAGCAAAAACGGTAATTTTCTGAAATTCATTCACTTTTTGACCATTTTTGCGAGACCACTGCTCCCAAACTATCAGCGGTCAAAGCCTTCCCGAGGCGGGGCATGAAAGAGTAGGGTCTTCAGAATAGGAAGGCGTCGAGGGAGGCCTTTGACCGCTACTAAATTAGATGCAGTGACCGCTCAAAGTCAGCAAAAACGGTAATTTTCTGAAATTCATTTACTTTTTGACCATTTTTGCGAGACCACTGCTCCCAAACTATCAGCGGTCAAAGCCTTCCCGAGGCGGGTCATGAAAGAGTGGGGTCTTTAGAATAGTAAGGCGTCGAGGGAGGCCTTTGACCGCTACTAAATTGAATGCAGTGACCGCTCAAAGTCAGCAAAAACGGTAATTTTCTGAAATACATTCACGGTCTTCTGGCAGTGTGCGTGCGTTGGGCGAGGCGAGCTCGCTTCCCCAACAAGCTGTCTAACGGGTACTCACGTCCAGGTTGATGCCCTGCAGCGGGAAGGCCTTGGTGGGCGGCGACATGCCGGGGATGTAGCGGAAGAACTCCCGCTCGTCCTTGTACCACTTGACCGAGTTGAGGGTGGCGTTCTGCAGGTTGTAGTGGCACACCAGCGTGGCCGTGCCGCGGACGTCCACGTGCACGGGCACGTTCAGCTCCGTGATCTGCAGCCCGCTCGCTGCAACACACACCGACAAATTAGATTAGCACACTGGGAATACTTCATCACAACAAACCATGGGTCAGGAAACCAAGCGGGCGAACCGAACGTGTGACTCCACCAATGGATTCCTCGTTCGGAGAGCAATCCATTGGTGGGGTCACACGGTCGGTTCCAGCCCCATTTAGCGACTCTGGAGCTCAAAACGCGTGGAGAGTTTCGGCCGCCTCCACCGGTCTTCTGGCCCACAGTGCGTTTGGAAGCTGAAAAACGGGCTGCCGCTTTCGACTTTTAGCAGCAGACTGCCGCTTTGTTGCCAATTACATTTCAACTGCCGCGGCAGCTAATACCTCAACACTAGACCGCCAACTCGCGGGGGGGCTTTTGAAACCGTCGCCACCAGCATCGCCGCCACCGCGCGCCACGGCGATACAAACTTTGCGGAGGGGAGGGTGGCGCGAGGAGGCGGCGCATCCACTGTGCGTATTTAGTTATTTCCGGCACAAGTCAACATCCTACTCTATCAAATTTTATTGCTTTCGGTTATGAAAGGCCTGCGTGCAATTTAAATATTCCACTCGGTGAAAACAGTCCCTGGTTTTCACAGGTAGACATAAGCCAGGAGAAATTATTTTGAATTTTGGTCAAAAACTTGTGAATTTGAAAAAAAAAAATTCGATGAGTTTTCATGAATTTTTAATTGTTGTGTATCAATTTGGCTGGAGGTATTCAGAAGGCATTCCCCCTTGGACACAGCTGCTATCTAGGGAGTTCCTGGGAAAACCAGGAACCGTTTTCACCACGCAGGAACTTTTTTTTTCGGCCTTTGCGGATTCAGCGTTTTCACGGAACCAGTGTGTGTATCCGACAGGGAAAGGGTTCCGGCCAGCTTGCGCCACGCCGCGCCAGCACCGCGGATCGGTGAGTTGCGCTGCGGGCATCAAACATTCCTCAACGTGATGAATATTCGTCGCTCGCGACCGCGCGTTCGCTGCGGTTGTTTCCAAAAAAAGGCTTCGTCGCTCTGTCTCTCTCGCACCCACGCGGGGAGTTGTTCATTTCTCCTACCTAAATGTTCGCCTACCTGTCTATTTCGCCTACCTATATTTCGCCTACCTAATAAAAATATTGAATAAAAATATTCAATAAAATATTGCCATTTTTCGCCTACCTATAGTTCGCCTACCTAATAAAAAAATTAAATAAAATATTCAACAAAAAAAACGAAAAAATCGGCGGCAAAAAGTGGCAATACGAAAGTCTCAAGGAGACCCGCCGATCAGCTTCGGTGTTCTTATGGGAACCGGGCCTTCATCCGACGCTCCCTGCCGCGCAATTCGACAGATTAGTGGGTTCGTATTGGGCTGGCCCACCCGAAGTGCGCGCGGTTTCTGTGGTACAGTGAGAGTCCAGATTCAGAGGCCTTACCTCAGAGGGGTCACATTGGGTATTTGAACCCGCGACCCCGAGTGCCGAGTCTAGTCAACTCCTCTACCCTGACCGCTCAGCCACCGAACCAGCTTGTCGGCGGCGATGTCGCAACTCCTCTTGAGCTGCCGTTCGAGAAATCTGGTCCCGAAAAAAGGGTACCTGGAGCGGTCTCGAACCCGGGACCTGCCGCTTCCCACATCATGCTCTTAACCACTGAGCCACCGGGACGCCATGGCACCCGCCCTGCCTGCGCTGGTACTCAATCTTCTCTGGATATACCTCCCCAAGGTCGCCGAAAAAATTGTGTTACTACCGGTCCCGAACCCGGGACGTGCCGCTTCCCACATCATTCTCTTAACCGCTGAGCCACCGGGACGCCTTGGCACCCGCCTTGCCAGCGCTGGTACTCAATCCTCTCCGAATAAACCTCGTCAAGAAGTCGGTTGCCTCTGCCGAAAAATATGGTCATGGTACTAGTCTCGAACCCGAGACCTGCCAGTCAGGAACGCAGCACTCTAACCACAGCGCTACTTGGTTGCTACGCACAGCACTCACCCCATCGCCGAAGTTATTATTTGTCCAGCATCAAGCAAGATGGGTGGCTATTGAAGTTTGGCGCTAGGTTAGTGGCGTGCATAGCAACCTGGTAGCGCCGTGGTTAGAGTGCTGCGTTCCTGACTGGCAGGTCTCGGGTTCGAGGCTAGTGCCATGAGCATATTTTTCGGCAGAGGCAACCGACTTCTTGACGAGGTCTATCCAGAGAGGAATAAGTACCAGCGCTGGCAGGCGGGTGCCATGGCGTCCCGGTGGCTCAGCGGTTAAGAGCATGATGTGGGAAGCGGCAGGTCCCGGGTTCGGGACCGGTAGTATACACAATTTTTTCGGCGACCAATTGCTCGGGGAGGTATATCCAGAGAAGATTGAGTACCAGCGCAGGCAGGGCAGGTGTCATGGCGCCCCGGTGGCTCAGTGGTTAAGAGCATGTTGTGGGAAGCAGCAGGTCCCGGGTTCGGGACCGGTAGTATACACAATTTTTTCGGCGACCAATTGCTTGGGGAGGTATATCCAGAGAAGATTGAGTACCAGCGCAGGCAGGGCGGGTGCCATGGCGTCCCGGTGGCTCAGTTGTTAAGAGCATGATGTGGGAAGCGGCAGGTCCCGGGTTCGGGACCGGTAGTATACACAATTTTTTCGGCGACCAATTGCTTGGGGAGGTATATCCAGAGAAGATTGAGTACCAGCGCAGGCAGGGCGGGTGCCATGGCGTCCCGGTGGCTCAGTGGTTAAGAGCATGATGTGGGAAGCGGCAGGTCCCGGGTTCGAGACCGCTCCAGGTACCCTTTTTTCGGGACCAGATTTCTCGAACGGCAGCTCAAGAGGAGTTGCGACATCGCCGCCGACAAGCTGGTTCGGTGGCTGAGCGGTCAGGGTAGAGGAGTTGACTAGACTCGGCACTCGGGGTCGCGGGTTCAAATACCCAATGTGACCCCTCTGAGGTAAGGCCTCTGAATCTGGACTCTCACTGTACCACAGAAACCGCGCGCACTTCGGGTGGGCCAGCCCAATACGAACCCACTAATCTGTCGAATTGCGCGGCAGGGAGCGTCGGATGAAGGCCCGGTTCCCATAAGAACACCGAAGCTGATCGGCGGGTCTCCTTGAGACTTTCGTATTGCCACTTTTTACCGCCGATTTTTTCGTTTTTTTGTTGAATATTTTTATTTAATTTTTTTATTAGGTAGGCGAACTATAGGTAGGCGAAAAATGGCAATATTTTATTGAATATTTTTATTCAATATTTTTATTAGGTAGGCGAAATATAGGTAGGCGAAATAGACAGGTAGGCGAACATTTAGGTAGGAGAAATGATATAGACTCCCCACGCGGGGCGCCCCACGAGTGTGAGAGAGACAAACACATCGCAGCCCCGCTGTACCGCCAACAGTTAAACAGGAATCCGGTCAGCTGGCACCGATAGGCCCGCGCGTGAATACGGCCTCGTCTTTGTCCGTGTGTGTGTGTGTGTGTGTGTGTGTGTGTGTGTGTGTGTGTGTGTGTGTGCGGTATACAAACATATACGCAGTGCCGCCTCGGGTGCCGCTTCCCGACTTGGCTCTCTCTCTCTCTCTCTCTCTCTCTCTCTCTGCTCTCTCCTCCCACTAAAGCCTGTGCAACCCATATTTCATCTCGCGCCGCCCTCGGCCCTACACGCACCGCCGCAGTTCACGGTCTATCGCCTTTCATGAAATAAAACACGCCAAGCATAATACTCTGGGGATGTTTCAGCCGCACACACACACACACACACACACACACACACATGCACGGGAGCGGGCGCGCGCACGCACACACAGGGCCTAGTGGGTGTTGTTGTGGTGCAGATAGACTCCGATTGAAGAAATATGGTCGATGGATTTACCTGATGAAAGTGAAGCTCACCGGAGCGGAAGTATCGCTTCACAAACGCCGCAGCTTTCGAAGTGCGTCAAGGACGGTGCGAAAAGAGGGGCGTGGCAAAGTCTAGAGGCGAAGTGGCGAGGTAGAACAACACCGAAACAATCAACCTGTTGTTACTTTGCTCCTGATCGATAGCGAGGGTAATTCCGAACTTGATGACTGCCACAGGTTGTTTCGACCCACAAGTTGTTTCACTGGAGGGTCTCGCGCCGCTTTACTGGCAGCGCAAGCGATGCTATTCGATTAGCGAATGAGTGCGAGAGAGACAGAGTCATAACCTTGTGCAGGGCCCCGCAGGACTCCACTTAACTGAGTTGCTCTATCACGCCTCAGGGAACCCCAGCGTGTATGTGAGACTCTGTGCGTGTGTGTGTGGACGTGTCACTGACGTGGCCAGGGACAGGGGCAAGTGTGCGGTTTGCGTCGCTTTACACGTCTTCTTGGCAAACGCTCTGAGACATCGGCCGAGGCAGAGAACGGCTGACGCGTGGAACAAAAGAGACACGCTCACCTTTAGGGGGCACCTCCACGAGTTTTGGAAGGAAGGAGGGAAAACGTTGAATTGTGTGACTTGCGAGTTCTCAGTGTAGGCTACGCCCTAGAAAGTGGCTTCTTGATCCAAGGCAATTTACTTGCGACGAGTAAATTTACTGCGATGTTTCAAATAAATTTACCCGGATGTTTCGAGTAAATTTACTGGGATGCTTCTAGTAAATTTACTGGGAAGTGTCAAATGAATTCACTGATTGCAAGAAAAGGATTTTGGGTCACGAAAACAGTTGTTTCGGGTGTACCAGGAGGCAGGCAGATTGAAACAGGAGCGCATAGCCGATACGAATGCGTCCGGGGGGACGGGCCTAGCCAAGTTGGCGGCAATGTCACCTCCATTACTTCCTGGAGTCTGTGTTGTTGTTGAATGTTGTTGTTTGTTTTGGCCCAGCATGGCTCGGCCGGAGGAGGGCAGGGGCAGCAACAGAGGATCGACGACACTGCCGAAACAAAGAATGGACTGGCGAGACATAAAAGTACAAGATCAAGACGCAAAGCCATAAAGAAGGAAGCGATAAAAAAGAAGCAGGACCGTCCTCACCACGGATCGCCCAGCGCGTCTCAGCGCGGCGGCCTCGCGG